CCGGTCCCGGTCCCGATCCTGATCCAGATCCCGATCCCGATCCAAATTCCTCCTCCCCCACCTCGTGATGGTCATTCATTTGTTCTCCTTTCTTCAACAGACGAGCAAGGTGAGCTGTTGTCTCGGTTAGAGAAGGCTTTTCCGTGAGTTTCTTGGCATTAATGGGCCCATCTGGGATGAACAAAATATTATGAGGAAATCTAAGTGATGGAGAGCAAGTCGAGTTTAGGGACGCGTTTAACAGGGCTTACCATGATCATGATTATCAATTTATGAACCAAAGGCAGTTAAAGATTCAGGGCCCATTTATATGGTCTCAAGTGTTCAAGACAACCCTTCCCTCCAGTTTCCCTGGCCGAGCTAACTTTTGATTGATTTCTTCGGACAATTCAACCAACCGTTTACCTGAGACCGGCGAACTTGTCTCGGGGGCGGGACAACTCGATAGGGAGTGTTATCCCGCCTCAGCGAGACATCGTTTTCTCGCGTACACACTTCGGCTCGCCTGCCCGACAACCCGAGACCGTGTGTTTTAGGTGAGGGAAGAGACTGATGAGGGAACAGCTGTTACAACTCACAACTCCAGATAAACGCTCCATAAAGTAGTCTTGAGGGGGAGGGTTGTCTCGGGTACGCGATACCAAATAACTATGGCCGCAGTCGAAACAATTAGCTCTGTAGCTTTTTTTTCGTTGCATGAGCTACTAGCATAGAGTACTACCAATTGCAGTCAGTTTTTACCATCATTCACAAATACAACTATTTTTCTTGATTTTTGTATTCGTCCTGATGTTGTTTCGATTTTGGGTAAAGACGATGGCAGACGTCGTTGTAGTGTACAAAAAAAGGAAGATTTTGTTTAAGGCTTTGATTCCCTTATCAAAATAATTGGTTGCTCTGATCCATAGGTACAGATATTCTTTTTAACTCTCGCGGATTGCATTGCAGTTTAAAAAAATGGGATCATGTAAACTGTTTTTGATTTACGGTCCCTAAAGATAAAATAATTGGTGTAATATTGTGCCGTGTTAATCTTAAATGAAAAATTGATACAATTTGTCGAGTAATGATTTGAAGAAAATTTTTAAAAACTTAAAAACGGTTATAGATTCGCGTAGGATCCATCAAAGAAATGATGTTTAAAAATAATTAAATGATTTTGATCCACCTTAACAAAGATTTACTGAAGTTTTACATTCGCAATTGATTACTAGCTAACATTTGTCTCCAGATCTATTTATAAACCTGATCAATTCTAAGAACAGTCGATCCTAGAGTCAGAATGTCTATTGTCCGAGCGAAACAAAGGGTTTTCCCTGAATGCGGAAAATTTGTCAGCCTCAAAGAATCCCGCTCAACAGAAACTCATTCATCCAAAAAGCCTTGATAACCTAAAAGAACCTTGTTTGTCAAAAACTAAGACTGTCCATTGTCGAAGAAAATCAGACGCACTGTCCTAAACGTGGAAAGAATGTGGGATATTGATCAAATGAAGCCTTTAAGTGCTACTGTGGTTCTTTCTTTATTCACTCCGAGCTTTCGCCGTTCTACGGCATCATCAGGGAGTACGATCGTTCAAACGTGGAAAGAATGTTTGCAACCTTAAGCTCGTTATTTCGTATTCTAAAGGGCCCTTAATCTGAAAACACTTGACACTGTTGCCAGGCAACACAAGGAGGCTTTTGTCTGAAGCGGAAAAAATGTCGGCCTCAAGGTAGATTTGGCTTGGAAAGCCTATTGCAAAATATGTTTTGTAACTTGAGATACAATAAAGCTGGTTTTTTTTTCACAGAGTCGCAAGGTAGAAGGAATTTTTAGATTAATTTTGTCAATAGGACAAGTGAACCGAAATGAACCGATTTTTTAATTTTTTTTTTAATTTTTTTTTATCGCGCTGGTATGTGAGGCACTTTGTGCGCAAAGTTTTCTGGCATATGTAATGAATGGGAAAAAAGCATTAACAGTCCGTTGCAATATGCTGATTGACGAGAAAGTTAAGTACGATGAGATAGTTAAAATAAATACGACTGATTGAGCAGAAAAAAAATATCTATAAGTTAATCTCTACCGAAAAAAAAAGTTTTGACAAAATGATATCGACTCGTAGCTCATAAATAAGGTAAGAGAGAGATGTATCTTTGGTTAACTTATCGACAAATCAAACAATTATGTTTAAGTGAAAACATGAACATAAATGAAATTTACCTTTAAGCAAATGATGCAGTCTATTGGACCTCGCCGCTGAGAAATCAACCAGGTTCTTCAATGCACCAACAGTTGAGGCGATAAGCAACGTTGTCAGGATGAACTTCATTTTCTTCCACAGCTTGCACGATCAGCCCACCTCATGGAAAACTGATCCACACAATCTCAGATTTTGCTTTTGTGCCCGGTTCATCCATCCATTACATTGCAAAGTGTTACTAAGGTTTAATTTCTCCTTACAGCACCGAGTGTTGCACTCACTCAAGCAGTAAGTTGGCGATTTTTTTTTAAATTCTCCCCACTTTCTTCCATAGAGGTTTGTTGCTATGCGACGGGAGAGTCTACCTATTGACATGCGATCAAATTATGTCCTGATCAATTAATTCTTTCAATTGTTTTTTTGTTTTTGTTTTTTGTTTTTCAACTCCTGAGGGATTTCAATTTTTTTTCAAAGCGGAAAAAACTTCAATTCGTCACGCTAAAGTTTATCTACATTCGCAGCTTGACAGAAAATAATATAAAGCTTGCTTATGCAAATCTAGTTTTTGATTATTGATGTATATTCCAGCAGTTCTGAATGAACAGAGAACTGATTAAGAGCCGTTAGAATGTTTCACTTTGCATATTGTTATCAATCCCACGTAAGATGAGGTAACTGTTGTCTTGTTATGGCGTGACAGTTAGATTTTCAACGTAGATGCCAACTAAGTTCAGTGCATGGGAGGCGTGTGAAAAACTTACCAAGTGAGAGGCCTCATTTTAGTTTTGAAAATGGTTGGCATAAAATTTGATTTTTGCAGACGGCTTAAAGCCGACTTGGGAGACAGAGCAGGTTGCAGCCTTCACCCTCTCCCCCCCAAAAATATTTTGTGGGTTGAGGGGAGCTCGAGGTCTCAAATTTCCATCACTTTAGGATTTGTTAAGCAATTCATTGGTTTGATAAATAGATAGGTCTATGTGTACGTTTTCTCATAAATTGCATTTCTGTCATCAAAGTATTCAAAACAAAGTTCCTAACCCAAATGCGGAAAATATCACGCTGATAAATGACTGTCTCGTGATATCGATCATCATTTTAATGGGCCGTAGATTTCAAAAAACGCTAAGAACAAAACAGGAAGTTTCCTGAATGCGGAAAAAATGTCCACCTCCGAGTAAATTAAGGGGGAGGGAACAGGTGTATTACAAAGCGGAAAAAACTCAAATTCGTCGAGGTGAAGATATCTTGGTTTTGTTTGAACAAATTTTGTAACTTAACAGAAAATGCACCAATATATGTGAATTAAATCTCCTGAATGTCGATGTATGTTCCAGCGGAAATGATCGAGAGCATTTTAAGTCATTCGTGCTCCTTCGATTCTTGCTGCATCATTGTTATTACGCTCCCACGTAAGGTGAGGTGATTCGGTAATGTTAGGTTATTGTTTTAAAGTCACAGTAATGACCCTTCTGCAGGCTTCAGTTTACTTTTGAAAGCGGTCGGCTTTTTCCGAGCTGGCCGAAAGCAACATGTCTGGTAAATCTGAGTGTTTGGAAGCACTTTTGAGTTTATAAATGACAAACAAAGTTCTAGACAGACGTAGCTGATGCTAGCAGTATGCAGGACGTGTGTCATACGAATTTCGTAATAGACCTCGCTCACGGTGGAGTCTGTGGCTCAGTGATAGAGGATCGGAGCGCGGAATCCGAAGGTCTGAGGTTCGATTCGTCATGGGGACTCAGAATTTTTCTTTGTCCCTCGCTCGTGACAAGAAGAAAAACATTTTTGTCAATTGTCACCACAAAGTCTTATGTTGGCAAATCAGTATCTAATGCAAAATTTGATGAAATGTTGTCTAAGATTGTTATCTCCCACCGTGATTGATTAATCTTATGGCTTTGTTCAAATTAAATGTAAAGCGCAAACTACTACAAAGTACTTCTAAAATCGAAGCAAGCTAGCGTAACTTTGAGATCGGTGGTAGGGAAATCAACGAAGCAGTTAGTTGGCCAAAAGGATAATTAAAGTTCGCTGTACATTAACAGAACTTTCTCAAATTGCGCGAGGAAAAACAGTTTTTGTTTACGTATGCTGAAAGACTGAAGGCTGCTTTAAGATTAAATCTAGATAACCTTAAAAACCGGGTCGGTTTACAATGTTCCTATCTTAAGATAAGCGATTTAAAGTTTGATTGACAAGTATCACTAGGGAAGATTTGGTAAGTCAAGTGTAGAGAGACGCTTACTTTTAGTTCGCTCGCGAGAAACAGAATTCAGTAATGATACACAACAAAACAAAAGAGTTAGGAAATAATGAAATTTATTAGGATTTCAACCAAGCAATCATGAATTTAAGGCGATAGGTGTGTATTAACAAAATATTTTGAACCCAGCGTATGTTTAATGTTGATAGTGTTTGGTGATTTATCAAAAATGTGATCCAACTTGATAGGCAAACCTGAAAATGAAATAAGAAAATCCAAAGGTTTGTGTTACACCAGCAGAAAATACCATTGCCAATGCAAATAAACATTACGCTAATTGTCTATAGGAGTGGACAGAAACTGAAATAAAGTGCGGTTCGAGGTCAAAACAGGCCAAAGGAAGTTGGAAAACAATTGAAGATCCAAAAATAAGTTTTCCTGCTTTAAGGAGTGAATTTAACATGAAAAAAATCGGCAAGATTTTATTAAATGCTGTTGTTATTGCGTTATCTCTTTCTTTATCAAAATAAACGCATCTTTGTGATGAAATTTTTTTATCTATTTTTAGGAATCTCGAAGTAGAGTTGAATGCACACGTAAATGAAAATAGGAAACTTTACCTTACTCACACGATTACTCATTAATGGTGAGAAGCGGGTTTGAGAGTGTCGGGTAGCTGATCCAGTTCCTCCTCCACGAAATCGGCAAGCCTTTTCAACTTGTCACCTATCGGTTTCTCGCTCTTCTCCTCGCCAGGCTCCTCGCTCTTCTCTTCGCCCTTCTCCTCGCCAGGCTCCTCGCTCTTCTCTTCGCCCTTCTTCAGTTCTTTATGCACAGCAAGACCAATCAGAAGCGCTCTTCTCATGTTGTCCACAACATAGTCACCGACGACTAAGAAAGCTCTGTCTTTCTTATTACTTGCCATATGGGCTGCTACGGCTTTCATCATTCCTGTAGAAGGAAATAGTATTTTAAATCTACGGTTTTTTTGTCAAAAAAATAATCTTAGCCATTACGAAAGTGGAGAACTTTGAAACAGAATTATGCCTTTCTATAGAGAGTTTGTCCCAATCAAGGGGGTGGGGTATTCCCAAGGATCTTTCACAAGAGAAATGTTACACTAAATGTTCACAAAACTTTTTTGGTATTTGAACGAATTAGTTTTCAAAGAAACTTATTTTGCGTCCTTTGCTCTGAGGGTGCTCTTTGCCCAAAAAGAGTACAAAGTGATTGTGTTGATACCAAGATTTTTCAACAATTTTGATGGGTATACTTGTCATTTTGTTTAATAAGTAGTGTCCAAGGTTCTCCAACTTTAAAGTGTCTTTTTAGGGTGTATATTGGGGTAATAACATACCTTGAAAGCGTTTCCCCTCCACCCTATGCAAAATTTGCACTTTTTTGGAGAGCTTGATTGCCTGTAATTGTTTTATGAAAGAGATGAGGTCAGTCATTATTTTCATAATTGTTTGTTTTTGTTATCGTGAAGACCATGTCCTTAATCTCGATATGTATAATTAATATGTCGGAGTTATATAACGTGTTATTTATTCTCGAAAAAAGTATGTATTTGTTTGATATGGTTACGGTACATTATTGTCCGAGACAACAGCCAAACCGAGCTGAAGAAGTCTTGTGTCCG